CTCTCAGAAAGAAGATGGTTAAACCCATTACACTGCCTCAAAATAATATATTTCCTCAACAATTAACAGTATTGGTTCAACTACCTGACTTGATGGCCCTAAAAGAAGAAACCCAAGCTTAGAGGAGTTGCGCTACATTAGTGGTATTGAAATCGCATCAGGATCATCTAGAATACTTACTGAAAATGTGTATTAATAGGCCCTACCTCATATCTAATAAATTAGAAATTTCAAAGTCTAGCTACAATGCATGTATATTTTGTAAAAATATGCCAGGTGGTTCTGGAACTTTACGATACATTAAAAACCCAATTAAAATTCATCTAACATAGCACATTAATTAAAACAGTAGCAGTCTTATCTAAATAGGAAAGCAACATATCAATTAATTTTTTCTACTTTGCCGGCATATAAGAGGCATATCCAAACTAAAAAACTACAAAGAGGAATGAAGTCAATTTTCCTGTACTGTAAAATTATGGATACAAATCTGTCTACGTGTATTATAGCTATTACAAAAATAAGTGGGTCTCGTCTTTTACTTATTTATAAGTAATATATTAATTCACAGTTTATCCTGAGCAGTTTCAGTGAAAGAAATCACACTTTTGACAATTTTTTTTTTTGGGGGGGTTGTCTTTTTGAGACAGGGTCTCGCTGTGCAGTTCAGGCTGGCCTTGAGCTCACTTTGTAGCCCAGGCTGGTCTCAAACTCACAACCATCCTCCTGCCTCAGCCTCCCAAGTGCTGGGATTACAGGCGTGCGCCACCATGCCCGGCACTTCTGACAATTTTAAAAAGCTTTAAAAAAATCTATATAACTTTATTTTCATTACTTTCAGTAACAGCAAAAAACGTGTAGGTGTTATTTTAAAATACTAATAATTCCTTCAATATTTATCACATTCTGTCTGAACACTTTTCCAGCAGCAAGAAACTTGTAGGTGTTACTTTAAAATACTAACAACTCCTCCAATATTTATCACACTCTGTCTGAACACTGTTCCAGCACTTGCTGCGTACCGTAGCACTGACAACAGAAGAAAGGCTTGTGCTGCATGATGCAGCTTTAGTCTGAGGCAGATGAACTGACAGCACATAGTTACAAATAAACCTAATTGTAAAAAAATCGACGAATGCAACACAAATGGTACTTAATAAAGGAGATTTTAAAATACAGAAGACAATTTCCATTTCTTTATTTTACTGAGGTAAAAAAAATACCCACCTCACTTATTTTTAAGGATAGATGAATGGTAAACTTATTGAAGTTGATAAATGTATGATGACAGCATAAAACAGTATCCCCATCCAGAAATATATACCCTGAAGTATTTAAAAGATAGGGAGATACAGATAACTCACTCAAGTGGTTTAAAAAATTGTGTTCATGTGTCTGCATCTAGAAAGAGAGAGAGGCAGAGATAATAACAAAAGAAACGGAATAAAATGTTAACAAATCAATCTTGATAGAGATACAGCTAGTTCTTGTAATATTTTGTTTTTGGAATCTGTCTTCACATGTAAACTTATTTATAAATAAAAAGTTTTAAAATGTAGAAGAAAGATAAAAAATAGCAAAATGTTGATCATTTTGGAAGACAGGATATATAGGAAGGTTCACTCTACCATTCTCTCTACTTCTGTACATCTTTGAAATTTTGCATACTAAAACATGAAAAAAAGAAAACTAGACTATATGAAAACATATATATAAAGTACTAGTACAACACCTGTCAAACAGAAGGCATTTAATAAATGATAGGCACAGTTTTTACAACTGAGATCGTATCTCTTGAGTGTACATAAATACTGGCTTTTAGTATTTTATTACATAAAAGTATTTACTGACAGTCCATCAAGGCAAGGTGCTTAACCAGACACTGCAGTGAACATCCACACAAGCAGCAGCTGCCACATTCAGAACTCAGGTAGTCACCATAATGAAAGGCAAAAAGCAACGGTTTAGAAATCAAGGAAACTAAACTCAACTACAAACATCACCTTCTTTCTCTGTGCACTTAAAATAATGAAACAGGAATACTTTTTCATCTTCCATATTTAAAAAGCAGAAACATCTATTTCATGCATATGAGATCCCTATGAGAATAAAATGAGATGCTCAAAAAGTTCCCTTATAAATATGGAAATGTTATATAAATGTTAGCTCCCATTTTATCCTATGCCATACCAATGTGGGGATAATGAAGCATGTGTATAAGTAAATAAAATACACAGTCAAGTGGTAAGTGCCACAGATGAAGATCAGATCTAGCTAGGGGGACAAAGGAAGTCTTTGTGGAGAAGGCACTCAAGATGGACGTAAATGGGTGGGTGGCAGAAAATCCAGAGTCATCATAAGGCAAAACGAAGACCCAAGCAAAGGCATGAAAAGGGAGACTGTCAGGAAGCATGAAGTAATAGACTCTTCACTTGTCTGGGAAACAGTAGAATAACCAGAAATACATCTGTAAAAGTAAGTGAAAAGAAACTGGAGAAGGCTTGTCTGACTCAAGAGGCTCCCAGTATGTGCCTCACTACTCATTCAGACCCCAGTTCTAGAACAAAAATTCTTCTCCTCCCCTGCTGGTGCCAAGAAAGCTGTAATATCCAAGACTGAATTTTTTAAATAAGGCACTCTGTTTCAAAGGAAATAATTTTTTAAAAACATACAAGACACACACTGCTATGAAAGGAAACATTTTCTATATCCAGGAAAAATCCCATCACAGCAAAAATGAATATAATCCAAGAGTTTAAAATCTGTATTTGGCTTTGAAATATATATTTTTTTCAAGGAAAAACTTATAAATCATATTTTTAAAAGCCAAAATTAAAGTAAGAAAATTCCTTAACTACCAACTAAAAAAATCATCAAAAGTGATCACACAATTTAAGTCAAATTTTGTTAACTTGATTGACTTTACTGAAATTTGGCTTAATTAGATGACTGTGATCTTTTTTACAGTTTATTTTGCCTACATACATAGCTGCACTTTTTAGGATAATGTCCTTTTGTTGTTTTTATAATCTTTTGAGTCATATGCTATGAAATAGTGAATCCATAATCACTCCATCCTGACTTATGCTTTCACATGAATAATTTTAATAGAGCTTTAGGAAAAGAATTACGCAAAATGTGTTTTATATAGCTGTTACGGCAAACCTTTTAGAGCTTTCAATGGTAACAGCCAGTCAGCTGCGGCACATGTGCCACAGCTTCACCATCACTGACCTAAAGCATGCTAAAAACCATAAATCTATTTTAATGTCCTTAAATGAATATTAAATTTTAAGCTAGTGAAAAACTAGACCATAACATATATCAAGGTTATCTCATCCATCCCAACCCCAACCTCACTTGATAGACAAGAAAACTAACAGGAAAAATAAGAGCACCTTCTGATGTGCTGCTAACTATGTACACATAAACAGCTCTGAAATTTAAAATTCATGTCTTCTGGTACCCAGAAGACAAATGGCACCACAGGATACTGCAGTTCCTTTTGATACAACACATAACTGGGGGGAAATAACTGCACACAGATGTTTAATTTTTTAAAATTTGCCAAGTATTACCACTGTTTTGAAGAAGGCAATTAATGAGCTTACCACCCCTCAAAATTCTATTTTAAAATATTAAAAAATGCTAAACATTTCAGTATTTATACCACATTAATGATAAAAAAAAAAGAAAAGCAAAACAGTAACATTAATTAAACATTCTACGGGATCCAAAATGCCATGCATGTGTTGTCTTTGGAGGTCATTGATGAGCTGCACAGGGTGCCCACCTGATACTGCAGGCACTACTACATGGGAGTAACTTGAAGAACCAATGCAAGTATGGCATCTAGCAGGCTGGTCACCACCACAGATGAGGCTTTAAGTAACTACAAATGTATTTAAATTCACAACATTAAAAGAAGTCCAAAAGAGGCAAATCTAGAAAGCCTGGATCATTAATCAATTCCTTAAAGCAACAGAACAAGCCTACCTTTTATTTATTTATTTATTTATTTATTTATTTATTTATTTATTTTTGGAACCAGTAATTGAACTCAGGACTTGCGCTTGCCAGGTAAAGCCTACCATTTTTAAAAGAGAAGTTACAAGCCTCATTATCTAATAGACAGCCACACAATACTGCCTTATTCTACACACTGATGTTCCTATGTGAGTGTGGGGAGCACGCCCCAGCCTTAATTCCACTGTGGAAATCCGCTCCATCTAGACCTTGTACTCCTGAGTATGGAGACAATACACTACCCATGCAGACCTAATGACTGCCCAAATGTCACTCAGTTTTTATTCCCTTTTCAGAATACCCAAAGTTCAGCTTACATAAGCTCTTACAACCATGGCCTCCCAGGAGGACAAAAAGGAGGAACCAAAGTACTCTGCACAGTACTTGGGTGTCCTCAGGTCTGAAGTCTGTGAAGGAGAAATGAGGGCTTACGTTGAGGAGGATAGAAAGCTATCACATTTGCTCCCAATCAGACAAAATTCAAGTTTGCACCACTTCTGAGTTCATTTTAAAATTCTTTCAAATATACTAATTTGTCACTGAACAAATGAAACACTGAGTATAATAGAAAAACTACATTTAATTAGCCACATAAAACCCTCACTGATAAAGTCTCTAAACTAGAAAGATTTCTTCTTACAACATAAGCAGTTAAAGGCTTCCAAAGGCTTAATTTTATTTTTACTATATACCTAGAACTCTACAATATGTATATTTATGTATAAAACATCCATCGTGAAAAATACTCCTATAGATAACCTATTCACTTTTTTGCATATGTCTAACATAAATCATTACACAGAATAGAATAATTAATATTTTAATTACTTTCAGTATTTCACATTTAGCCAGCTGCACAGACCCAATATAAGTAAGTTTCTAAATGACAGCAGCCAAGTGAAAACAATTTTTTACACTTAATTAAACAAAATGTACGTACATCTAAGAATTGAAAAAAATCTGACAGGTCTTACTTGCTACTCCTGATGCCAGTCCGTAGAGCAGTCCTCCTCCATCTGACTGCTGAGGGAAAACATGGGATCCTGGAGGTGGTGGCTTTTCTTGTCTGATAAAGTTATACAACAAGGTTTTCACAAGTTTGCTGGTATATGGAAGACTACATGAAAAGAAGAAAAAAAATCAAACTCCTATTCATGGGAGTCATCTAATTCTGCATGATATAGAAATAATTCTGCCACTAATACTGATTCAAACAAATGTATCAGTGTCACATAACAGTCAAAACTGTGGGAGTTAAGATCAGTTTTGAGGCTTATTTCTTCTGGCTTTGCCTCACACCACAGCAGAAGACACTGATCAAACCTTTAAAACTCTAGTCCAGCAGTTACCTTACTTGCAATTTATATAACATTGTAAGATACTAATAAATTTAGTGTGTAATACAGTACCTGGCACTTGAAGATAATAATGTAGAATCAGAAAGAAAAAGAATTCAAAAATAGTAAGAATATACTAAAGTATGAAATTGTTCAATTTACTCAATTATTCAATTGATGATAAACCAATTCCTGCAATTTAAAGTAAAATTTTAACAGATTCTTAAATGTGCTATTGAACTTTTAAAAATATAACTCCTAAAATGAACCACAAAAGTCAGTAAAAGAATATATCTGGCAGAAAGTATTTGGCACCACAGTATGATACTATAAAAACTTAATGTCTTAGAAAATAAGAATACTAGCATTTTTTCGGTCTATTGAAAAAGCAACACCTCTGGCACTAGAAGGAACAAAGTTCACAGTCTTGTTTAACAAAGGTGCTGAAAAGCCTTAAAATGCCAATAAAACCTTGAGCCAGGGACATTCTGTGTGTCACTGTCAGAGAAAGGTTTAGATGCACATCTTTCATCTCCAACGCCAAGGCTCTTCCCCTCTTATCAGTGATCTTCAAATATGTTCTGCAATGGTTTAATATGACTTAACTCCTCTGAAACTTGCAGAGTTTAATCCTCATTGTGAGGTATTTAGAAGGTTGAAACAATCTGACTCCATTGTTTAGAAGTGGGGCTTTTGGGAGCAATTAGGATTAGATAATGATATTAGGGTGGAGTCCTCATGATGGAGTCAGGGTGGTTTACAAGAAAAGAGAGAGAAACCAGAAGAGGCACACACATGCTCCCTGTCTCTTGCTATGTGATGTTCTGTGATGCCTCAAGACTGCCAGCAAGAAAGCCGTTACTAGACATGGCCCCTCAACCTTTGACCTCCACAACTGTAAACCAAAATTATGTTTCTTTTCTTTATAACTGACCCCATCGGTGCTATTGTGGTACTAGCAACAGAACAGACTTAGACATATTCCCAAAAGCTCTAATGGATGCTGTGAACGTACCACAGGTATAATCAAGGTAGCAAAAAGAACACAAAAGAGACAAAGCTCCTCTCCCACCAGGTAACTTTAATTCAAAGCTACTTTATTTTAAAGTTTATATTATAAAGTTTATGTCACTAGAAGGTTGTATGTGTGTACATGAGGTAGAATCAAAAATATGGTGGTTTTTTAAAAATTCTATTACACTACAACATATTGCCATTAATCCTCCCTCAAAATACTCCCCCTTCCTTTGAATATACTTTTTCCATCATTCGTACCACTTTCTGGAGCAGTTCTGGAAGTCCTCTTTTGTGAATGTCTTTATGAGGCATGATCAAGAACACAGTGAATGCTGCTACTGAATGCCATCTAATGGAAAGGTAAGCTTGTAAAAACATTACAGTGTGTCCTCACCCACCTTATTCACTGAACGATACCTTACGAATAATACCAGTGAATAATACCTTATTCATTAAATAAGGTACTGTGTGATTTCTAGCCCTTCTCCAAAGTCAAAATAACCACAAAAAGAAATGTTTTTAATCGATATAAGACACTGAGACAGCCAGGACAGTACAACTAAAGACACTCACAAAAGTGGACTTCCATTACTGCTCCAGAAAGTGGCAAGAATGATGGGGTAAGTGTTTTGAAGTGCAGGAGAGTATTTTGAGAGAGATTAATGGCAATGTGCTTTTTGCTATAATATATTTTTAAAAATTTAAACATTCACCTATATTTTTCAACCACACCTCATATTTAATATTTATCCATTCCCATGCCCACCTCCTAGGAGATTGTAAAGCCTTGGCTCAGGAGTACAGCCCAAGCTTAATACATGACCAGTATACAGTCAGCACATAATAAATATTTGCTGGCTCAATGAAAGCAGGAGGACTCAATGAAGAGGTTGTTGGTATGGTTACAAGTCAACAGATTACAGTACAATCAGTCTTCCATATCTCAGACCCCAACATCCTCAAATACCATATCCAAAAACCAACTAACTGCAAATTGAAAATATCCAGGAAAAAAACCCTGCATCTCTAGTGAACATGTACAGATGTGCACAGACTATATACATTTTATATAAAGGATGAGCTCTGAAGATTTGGGTATCTTTGCAGGGCCCTGGAACCAATCCCCTGTGGATACAAAGAACAACTGTAGTTTCAAAGGTACTGATGAGGAGTAGAAGATACAAAAACGATTTGAATATACAGATATGACCTAATGACTACTTAAGAGAAGGGAAGAGAAGGAAGAAAAAGATGATTTCGAAGTTTCAACTCTATAAAGCAACCTCTAGAAACAGTAACTGAAATCATGGGACAGAAAGCACAGGGAGGATACATAGGGGGTTTTTATGTTGTTCTTTATTTTTTTGTTTTGTTTTTTTTTTTTTGAGACAGGGTCTTGCTATGGAGTTTAGACTGGTCTTGAACTCACTATGTAGCCCAGGCTGTCCTTGAATTCATGGGGATCCTACTACCTCAGCCTCCCGAGTGCTGGGATTACAAGCGTGTGCCACCACACCCAGCTTAGGACGTACAGTTTTGACAGGAAACAGAATTTGGTCCCTCATATGTAGGGTATGAAGTAACAACCAGAGGAAATGTCTGGTTGGAGATATGGGACAGCACTCAGGTAAGATGACAGGAACAGAAATACAGGTTATATAACAAAAACTGACAATGTAAAATAGAAACATACCATGGACCTCGCATCAAATACTTGTGACTGATGCTCTGTCGCAAAACTTCTTTGTGGAAGAGTTGGCAGGAAAGGAAAACAACCATTGTTGATATGGCCTCCACTGATATTTCATATGTAATGTCTCTGGAGAAATGGAGAGAAAGCAGAATAAAGACCACTTGGAAAGATTAGAGATACTCCCTTTTCTAAATAAACCGTGAAGTAAAAATTCAAATCTATATATTCAACAACTTCATATTTTAAAAAAGACTAATATGTTTAATATAAGAATTATCCCAAGCATAAATATTAGCTCTTCTGCCAGTTGCTCTTATATTTGAATCATTTTCCTACCTACTATGGAAGAACATGTCTATTAGTACACATGGAAACAGTTACCAGCAGTTTTTGCCTTAAAGATCTACTCTAGGCCTCTGTGTTCATCTCTGTTTAGTACAGAATAATCACATAGACTAAAGAAAAGTCAGTGCAGGGAAGAAAACACTCCCTTTTGAGTTGATAATCTCTTTATACTCAGGATAATGGTACACCCACAATCTTTCATCTTGCGTGTGTACCTTTTCAAGGTCAACTTTGTGTGCTCACCACATTATTAACAGTAAACATGTTGTTCCAATCTTATTATGCATATTTTTTGTTAGAAACTATTACCAGCTGCTCAGTCTGTAACACTGATCCCATGAAGTGGGAGGGGCACTGTGAAAAGGAAAAGGCTTTATTCAGAGCTAGTTCCAAGGAGATGGAAGGGATTCATCTTGCCACAAATCACTATCTCATTGTGTTCAGATGTGCAAGGACCTTTTATATTAAGGAACACAAAGGAAAGGTAATGCAATGAGACAACAGACACCCCTAGGTTTTCTTGATCCTTTCTGGCCATCTTTTGCTCCCTCCCACCCCTGTGGAGAAAAGAGTGTGATTGTTATACACTTGGCTTAAAGAAGTTTGGAGTAGCTAATCAGTCTGGGCAACTGTGTGACTTGAAGGCCCTGTCTCAAAATAAAAAATAAATAAAGGCCTAGGAATGTAACTCAGTGTGAAAGCCCTGGATTCAAACTCTATTATAGGAAAAAGAAGGGAAGACGGGTGGAAAAAATGGCAAAATACTTTTATAAATCTGAAATATTCATGGACAGCCCAAAGAGAAGTACTTAATGCTTAGATAAACACTGGCTCATTAGGCTAATTAAAGATGACTTGACTCTAGAGCTGGACAAGCATAAATTCTACCAGATACTTTAAGGTGTTATCATGGATAGATACATGTTTCAAAGCAAAGTATACAAAATAAAATATGAAAGGCCCATTAACATGTCACCCGGAAGCCAGTTACTAACACCTTAAGAAACCTGCGAGGCTCCTTGATTCTTTGTGACTTCAATGTAAGAAGTCAGACCTAACAGATAGGCAACTGTACAAAGTATAGGCAGAGTTTATTGAAAAATGAGACAGACTTTCAAGCGCTAAATAGAGAGCATACACTTTCACGAATGAAGGTGGGCAAGTACTAAGATGGCAGTTGTACCAATTAAAGCTCAGGCTATATTTATATGATTAATTAGGTCTTTAAGGAATATCATTTCCTTCCTCTGAGGTCACTGTTTCACTACAAGGAAAATGGATGGGGCTGTTCAGCTTCAGAGGAAAGAACATTCCTGTTTACTCTCTAGGTGAAATATTTCTATTTAGTTTATTTTGAGACCTTGAGGCTTTTTCCAAACCCTCACTCATGGTCTGTACTTTGTACAGATCCTGGACCTTATCACGATATTCAGAGGAGATGACATCTTCTTGGGTTGTAGCTTAAAACCATAAACTGGTTTGGATTTTATCTATAGATAATAATTAAGAAAGTAAAGGAAAAGGAAAATCATTCCTTTCTTCTCATATAGTCCCCACCTGCCTAATGTCTTTCTGCCTAACAAAACTGACCCTAATTTGTTATAAAATCAATCTCGGTTCCACTTAGAAATCTTTTACTGTATAAATGTTAACTGCATAAAAAAATGATGCTTATTCGGGTCTGGGGGTTCACACCTATAATCCCAGCACTCAGGAGGCTGGAGAAGGATGATTGCAATTTGAGGCCAGCCTGGGCTACATAGCTAGTCCAAGACCAGTCTGAACTATGTAGCAAAACCTTGTCTCAAAAAACAAAACAAAAATGTATTCAGCAGTTGCATCAAAAATATTTAACTGTAGTACTTTACAATGTAATGTCTTACTCTATGTCACAGATCCAGAAACACATTTTTTAGTGTGTTAAACTGAAAGGTATGACTATTAATAAATTCTAGGTCTAACAATCTTAGAAAGTATACATTTAGAACATAGAGTTGTTCTCCTTCACAATGAACTAGAATAAAAATCACAAGAAAGGTATCAGCTCTTGGACTATCCTCTCTGAACATGAGATTCCGAAAAATCTAAGAGTGAAGAGTACTGAGTTTGATGCTGGGAGGCAGAGAAAGCTGACAGCACAGAACAATGTTGAATCATCACAATATTAGGTTTCATACCAAGCTAACACTATCCCCTAAGATTTCTACATGGAACTAAGTGAGCCTCCTTGTGTGCTTCCAAAGCTCCAAAGATACAAATCTATCAAACTGTTTATTACACTGCACTTCTGCTCATATATCACTCAATGAATATTTATAAAGAATTAATTCTTGCTATGTCTACAGAGACATTATGTTACATATTTGAAAAAAAACTCACCAACATTTGTGAGTTGGGGGATAAAACTCCCACCTATGTGGAGTGTACAATTTAGTAGAGAAGAGAGAAGTAAAATAATTACTCCAAATTGGGATATAAAGAAAAAGAGCAGGGACAAGAAAGGATTACAAAGGTCTTTAAATTTGAGATCCAACAACCTAACGTGTGAGAGATAATTCCTTGTAGACAAGTCAGCTCCTTCATTTGTTAGTGTTGTTGTTTGTACAATACCTACAAAACCAGTAGGTATCCAAAGGACAAATATAGGATAAAGGGGTCTTGGGGACAGGAGGACTGAACCTAGGGCTTTCACCCTGGAGTTACATCTCTGGCCCTTTTTACATTTTTTATTTTAAGACAGGGACTCACTAAGTTCTGGGCTCAAATATGCAATCCTCCTGCCTCAGCCTTCCAAGACTCTAGGATTACACAGAAGGGTCTTAATAGCTCTGATTTTGACTAGAAACGTATTGCACACCTTCCTAAGTAGCTTCATCAGTACAATGCACAAGGTAGATATAACAGAATAGCAATGAAGAAGAATAATGTTGATGTCATGTAATATACATTCATAAGTACAAAAGAAAGTCTCACTGCAACAAAAATGAAAAGGGAATTTCATGGATGAAGAATCCAAGATGCTCCCAACTGGGAGAAAATCTTCTATTAATTTTGTTGAGCAAAATTACTAACATCTACCACCCTCCTTTTTCTGGCAAAAGAAGCCCTCTTTTCTTTTCAGGGATTCCCTTCAACCTCTCCACACCATTTGTGAGGTACAGATGGGATTTGACTCCACTTTCTTTGTTACAAGAGGTAAGCAAGGTCTGGCTAATAAAAATGGTCCTTATCAGTCTTTCCCAGGACTTCTCGAACTATCAGGAAAGGTTCTCCTGCTGAGACTGCATGTGCTAAAAACCACTTATACTAAACCTTCAGGTGGTTCTCTCTGCCAATGCAGGACAAGCTCTGGCCTGAGAAACGAGCCACTTGAGAGGATGGGCAGAGAGCAATGACAACAGATTGAGGGGAAGGAGAAAAAGAAATGGCAGGAGGAAGGCTGAGGTGCTAGTGAACAATCAAGAGAAAAATCAGGCACATAAATGGAAATTAGAATGAAATTTGGCCAAAGTTCATGAAAGAAGACAAGCTACAAATGAATGGCAATCAATACTGCTAAAGGCAGAGGAGGAAAAACCTCACAAAGATGACACATGATCAACAAAGACCAAGAAGAAGGAAAAGTGCATTAAAATGAAAAAAAAAAAAAAAAACAATGACATACAACCACAAAAAGATCCAATAGTTTTGAAAAAAAAAAAAGCAAGGAATTCAATCCTGATCAAAAGATTGCAAGGTAGTTGGGAAGTTGTAAGGGCAAAGGGATCAGGACTAGAAACAGAAATAAATTCAAAGAGCAAGATGTAAAAGGAAAAAGAAAAGTAAAAAAAGAATCAACAAACTATTAGAACTAATAAAAAAGTTCAACTAGCTTCTCAGAGTAAAAAAAATCATCTTTGCATTTTAGAAAAAATTTTAATTCTGATTTTTATTCATACTTAGTACGTGGTTACAGTATATAATGGTTACATTCACCATGGGTAATTGGCTCATATACATAATACATCTTATTCTTTTTGCATCGCCTTTCACACCCCTCCCTCCATCCCATCCCATTTGCAAAAAGCCCTCTCTGACCCCTATTACCCATTCTTTATTTTGCTCTTCAAATTATTCATACTTTGATGTTTAATTATTCATATGATAGGGGCTGGGGATTTAGCTCAGCGGCACAGCACCTGCCTGGCAAGCGCAAGGTCATGAGTTTGATTCCTGGTACCGGGGGGAAAAAAAAATTATTCATATGATGTTTAAGTTTGTATATATGATCTATTTTACTTACTACTGTGGTTTCAAGGTGCATCCATTTTCCTACAAATAACTCAAATTTATCCCTTTTTATGGCTGAGTAGTGCTCCACTGTGTATAAACATATATTCCGTGTATAAAAACATGTTGATAGACATCTATAGGCTGCTTCCAAAATTTAGATATTATAAGCTGTGTTGCTATAAACATGAGTATGCACGTATCACTATAATATGATGTCTTTAACTCTCTGGGGAAGATTTGAATAGCTGAGTTGAATGGAATTTCTATTTTTAGTTTTTTAAGGAATCTCCTTACTGGTTGTACTAGTTCACATTCCCATCAACAATGTAGAAGGGTTCCTGCAGCCAAAAGATCATCTTTGAAAAATAAAAAAGCATTTCTTCTTAGCAGTACCAGCCAATAACAGTAGATTATAAAAAATAAGACAGCATTTACAAATCCAGGCTGGGCATGGTGTCGCATGCTTGTAATCCCAGCACTTGGGAGGTTGAGGCAGGAAAATTACAGCA